AAAAAAAAAAAGTGTAGTATACACATAAACACACAAAGAAAAAGAAAAAGCAAACATGACAAAATGTTAATAGCTGAAGGAAATATGGGTATTTATTGTATCCATCCTTTAACTTTTCTCTGAAATTTCTTAAAATAATATCACCCATATTAGAAGGTAAGAAGATTTTGCTGAGAGAAGTCCAAAGGACTTGTGAGTCCCTCCTTATAGTAAACGGGAAGTAAAAGCCAATGACAAGGACTTCTCAAAAAGCTAATCTATGCCAAAAGGGACTTCCTGAGTCTCAAAGAACTCCTACATAAATTCCCAAGAGCAAGTCTTACTTACCTCTTATTTAAACAATGATCTAGAAAGTGAATTTATAAAACAATTCAGTTCAGGGAAAATAAGTGTAAGAGAAAATAGAAAAGCTCTCCTGACATCTGCCCAAGAAATATATAACAGTATGCCAGGCATGGTGGTATATGTCGGTAACCCTGGCACTTAAGAGGCTAAGGCAGAAGGATTACTGTAGTTCGAGATCAGCCTGGGCTACAAAGTAAGTTCACAAAAAAAATTAAAAAACCATTAATTATAAAAAGGGCCAGCGAGATGGCTCAGTAGAGTAAGCGCTTGCCTGGCAAGCACAATAGCTTAAGTTCAATCCCTGATTCTGACAAAAAAAAAAAAAAAAAATAAAAAACAATTTTAAAAAACCATTAATTACAAAGTAAACTCAGGGCCAGGGAGATGGCTCAATGGAATAAGTGCTTGTTTGGCAAGCACAGGGACCTGAGTTCAATCCCCGGTTCTGCAAAAAAAAAAAAAAAAAGTAAGTTCAAGGTTTGCCTGAACTGCATAGTAAAACCCTTTCTCAAAAAGAAAAATAGAAATATGTAACAGGATGTTCACTACACTATTCATAAAAATTAAAAAAAAAATCTATCACTCAACATCTATTGCCCAATGGATAACTCAATGTTCACACCATCTGACTACTAAATAAATGGCTATTACAACAGTCAGATGTATCCGTAAAAGCACAGGACTCAAAAAAATGTTTTAAACTGCAAAATGTTACACGATTACAGAACCATTTATGTGAAGTTTAAAAACACAAAAGCAAGCCAACTTTCAACTCTTCGTACAGGGTACAAACGCAGGCAAGTAAAAAAAAACATGTTCAGGAAGGATCTAAGCCAACCCTGGATGGTGGTTTCCTCTGGGGAGAGAGGGAGGGAAATGGGACTGGGCAGGGGAACAAAGGGGACCACAACTTCCTCAGTCCTGTTTTATTTCTTGACAAAGGAAAGTGATCTGAAGAAACCCTTACAAGTCTTTTCCCATGAATAAATCCACAGCTGGGAAAGGAAAAATGCAGGCACCTAGTTCAAGATGCAAGGATCCAGGTCCAATGCCGATCCCCAACTTGTGCCCAGAGGTCTCTCAGGGAGGTGGGTGCCGCCGCATGGTGAGCTCTGGCTCCAGGAGAGCAGCCGCACGCACGGAGATATCCACCCGCATGCCCTGCACTCTGCTCCCAACAGGGGCAGGAGGGCAGCCCAGTGAGCATGGCTCCACCCCTTTCTATCTGGGGGGCCTCACACCATTCCCTTCCCTCTCCAACTTACCTAACTGAAAGTGTGAAGTCTCCAGGATTACTTTTACTGGGCCTTGCCAAAAAACTGCCATCGACTCCTCTGGTCAACAGTAGGTTTTCTGCCTCCACGCCAGTGATGTTTGGGTGAAACCATCTTTAAAAGAAAGGGTAAGAGCAATGAGAAACAAAGGACTGTGCAGTGCATCTCTCCAGGCCACAACAGCTGCGGGGAGCGGAGGGGGCTGAGGAAAGGGCCCTCCTTGCCCCGCCCCTTCTCAGAGCCCCCTCCGCCTTTTCCCACAGGGCCTTGGGATGCTGCTGACAGAGAGGACATGGGGACAAGGTCAGTGGGACTGAGGTCAAGGCTATTCACAGAGCACTGGTGGGGCAGCCAGAAAGGCAGTACGTAAGGTCAGGAAACTGGGCACACACAACAGACTGTAAGATAAGCAAATAATCAGCTAGCTACTGGATAGGCAAGTAAATGCACTGAAGCTAACAGGGGTCCTCTCACTGATGGAATGGGAGAAAGCTAGAATAAACCCCGGGCATTCACATGAAATAGAATACATCGGCACTAACTGGGGACGGGCCATTTAGAGACTGAACAAGGGTTAGGCAGGTAGCTCAGCAGTGGAACATATGTCTTGCATTTGAGGGTCCAGGTTCAATCCCTACCATAAAAGGGAGACACAGACAGAATGTGTGCCTCTACCCACATGCACAGACTTCCCAGCTCTCTTCTGAAAAGGCTTGAGAGCAGTGACACCCCAGTGGCCATCAGCACAATGAAAACCCTTATCTTAGATTCCAACTACCATTCTGTAATCAAAGGAACTGCACTCCTTAGAGAAACAGCTAATTCCAGGACCCGTGCAATAAAAGAGTGAAGAACATCTGCTGTGCTATGGTTGAAAGTATTCCAATGAGGACACATCAAAAGGGTGAAGGAGACAACTTGCAAGGCCTCCTCCACTGGCCAAAACAGGAACAATTTGTAAACAGTGATATTAACACATTATATGGGGCTGGGGAGATAGCTCAGTAGAATAAGCGCTTGCCTGGCAAGCACAAGGTCCTGAGTTCAATCCCTGGTCCCTCCAAAAAAAAAAAAACACATTATAACCCATGAATATAACAGAAAATCTATAGAATCTATACAGATAATTTTTAAGACAAATAGCCCTCAAAAAATTATACAAGAAACATGATTCAGAAATTCTAATTCTCTGTTGGCCGGTGCAATCCAGTGGTGAGCTGACAGTAACCCCAGCTTAGGAAACAGGGTTGTTCTTCACGTGGGTGACTCTGCGCCTAAGGCATGGGAACAGCCCAGAGCTAGGCGAAAACCATGCTGTGTGGGCTTTTGGCTGTAGATTGTGATGAAATCTTTACTGTCTTTTCTATAGTTAAACACAGAGGAAATAACCCTTTTGATGAGATTGTCAACATTGCCCAAGACATGCGGCACCAGTCTTTAGCCAGAGAACTTTCCGGAACCATTAAGGAGCTCCTAGGGACCGCCCAGTCTGTGGACTGCAACGTGGACAGCTGGCACCCTCATGATATCATAGATGATAACAACATTGGTATTGTCGAGTGCCCAGCTAGCTAAGGAGCATAAGAAAATACACCAATAAAAGGATGAAAAAAAAAAAAAAGAGAGAGAGAGAGATGATCTGACAAAAAAAATAAATTCTGAGTATATACCAAAAACAACTGAAAACAAAGACTTAAAAAAAAAATTTCTACACCATGTTCATAGCTGCATTAATTAGAAAAGTTAAAGGTGAGCCAAACTCAGGCATGGTGGCTTGCACCTGTAATCCCACCACTCCAGAGGTTGATGAGGCACCATACATTCGAGGCCACATGAATTCAGGCCCAGCCTGGACTACAGAGCGAGACGCTGTCTCAAAAACCCAAAAATTTGCTGTGCATGGTAGTGCATATCTATAATCCCAGCATTGGGGAGGCTGGGGCAGGAAGACTGCCACTAATTCGAGGCCAGCTTAAACTACGTAGCAAGTCTGCTCCCTCCCAAAAAAATTATTTTGACAGGTAACACACAGCCAGATGGCTTAGTGGACTAAAGCACCTGCTTAGGCAGACGATTCAATCCCCGGGTGCTGGCCCTACCCCCAGGGTGCGCTGACAGAGATTGAGACTGAGCGTGGTGGCGTGTGCCTGTAATCCCAGTGCTTGGGAGGCTGAAGACAGGAGAATTACTACGAGTTTCATCTACATAGTGAGACCCTGTAGACCCTGAAGACCTTGTAACAAATACATTTAAAAAAGAAAAGAACAAGGAAAGTAACCCAGGCCTGGTGGCCCACATCTGTAACACAAAGATTCTGGAAGACTGAGGGAGAAAGACTCTTAAGTTCAAGACCAGCATGGGTAGCTCAGCCACTTAGTGATATTCAAAGTAAAATTAAGAAAAGACCTGGGGATGTAGCTCAATAAGAAGGTCCTGGATTCAATCAATCCCTAGTAGCACAAAAAATCAATTAATTAAAAAGTGGAAGGATACTTACAAGCTAAGTAATATGAGTCAATAATAAGAGAACAAATAGTATATAATTCTATTCATATGAGGTACCTAGAATGGTGACATTCACAGAGACAATTTATGTTTAATGGGTAGAGTTTTAATTAGGATGGACAGTGGTGATAGTCATCACACTGCGATGAGAATCTACTTGTTTCCTGTTTGCAGTAGCACTGGAGACTGAACCCAGGACCTTGCACATGCTAAGCAACAGCCTCTTTAGAGACAGGGTCTTACTAAATTGCTCAGGGTGGCCTCCAACTTGCAATCCTCTCCCCTCAGCCTCCGTAAGAGCTGGGATTACAGGTATGCAATATCATGCCTAGTTAATGTAAATCTATTTAAGGCCATAGAACTATACTTAAAATGGCTAAAACGCACTTCTGGCCATTAAAAAAATATAAGAATCAAAACAACACTGAGGGCCAGCCAAATAGCTCAGCAGATTAAAGCGCCTGCAATTAGGAACAGGGGCCAGGAGTTAAATCCCCAGGCCTGCAGTGCCGGCCCCACCCTGAGATGGCAACTGAGACTGGGCATGGTGGTGCAAATCTGTAATCCCAACTCTTAGGTGGCTGTAAACAGGTGGAGCACTACGAGTCCAATCTAGCAGTGAGAACCTGAACACCTATGTAGACCCTTGCCTAAAATACAAAGAGAAAAATAATAAGTTTTTTTTTTAAAGCACTGAAATTCTTACTCAAAAAAAAGAAAAGAAAAAAGGCAATCATCAAGAACTCAAAAATCAAATACTAGTGAGATTGTAGGGGAAAAGACATCCTTCTAACATTACTAGTGAGAGTGTAAAGTAGTACAATCACTATGGAAATCAGTAGAGTGATTCCTCAAAAAACTAAAACTAGGCCTGCAGAGATAGCTCAGTGTTTAAGCACCTGCCTAGGCAAGCACAAGGACCCGAGTTCCATCCCCGGTACCACACACTGTGCCACTCCCAATGTGGGCATGCCAAGCTGGCCACCAAGACCAGGCATGGTGGCACACACACCTGGCGCTGGAGAGGCTGAAAACAGGAGGATCACAAGTTCAAGGACAGCCTGACCTATACAGTGAGAACCTATCTCCAAAAAAATCATAAACACATTTGTATGTATGTATGATTTGTAAACGAAAGAGATAATATGCATGGTATAATGTCAATTGATAAAATCAGTTAAAAAAAATTTTATCTTCTGTGCAGATATGAAAGAATGGAGTAGGTGACAAAGAACTATTCAGATTAAAAAGGAGCAATAATGGGGCTGGTGAGATGGCTCAGTGGTCTAAAGCACCCACTTAGAACAAGCTAAGCTTAAGTAAAGCACAGGGACCACGGTTCAATCCCCCAGCACCACATGCCAGACAGCCCCGCCCCCTGGTGGGCTGAGCTGGCCACACACACAAAGTGAATGAATGAATGAATGAATAAATAAATAAATAAATAATTCTTTTTAAATAAATAAATAAATAAAAAATAAATAAAAAGGAGCAATAAGACACAAAAGGTAGTCCTACCAATTTGATTTGAAACTATCTCATTGCTATTTGTTTATCAATAAAATTATGGAAAAAAAATTTTAAAAAGATACAAAAGGTTAATACATTGAATGACACTGAACAATACCATGGACCAGAAGAAAGAGATGAAAAAGGAAGAGCTTTTGTTATCTTCTGCCATAAAGGACACTGCTAAACTGATCTGAGTGGGATCTAAAGGTGAATCAGTATTTTTTTTATATTTATTTATTTTTTTTTATTACATTTATTTATTGTGTGTGTGTGTGTGTGTGTGGCCAGCTCAGCCCACCAGGGGGCGGGGCTGGCTGGCATGTGGTGCTGGGGGATCGAACCGAGGTCCCTGTGCTTTGCCAAGCTTGTTTCAAGTAGGTGCTTTAGACCACTGAACCATCTCTCCAGCCCTGAATCAGTATTACTATGACAGTAATACTGCCATAAGGTTTGGTTTGGTTTGGTTTGGTTCACTGGGCATTTTGTGACAGGGACTCACTATGTAGTCACAGCAGTTCTCCTGCCTCAGCCTCACTAGGGCTGGGATTACACATGTGCCACCACATCTAGCATATTTTATTTTTGATAAAGCATCTCATTAAATTTCTCACACTGGCCTTGAACTTGTGATCCTCCTGCCTCAGCCTCCCCAAGCAGCTAAGACTGCAGGCATGCACCACCACACCCAGCAAAATATAAATTTTGATGACATACAGTAGAGCTGTGACCAGGTTTAGAAAATATACACTGAAGCATTTGAGAAATAAAGCATTATGTCTACAACTTAAACTCAAATAGTTCAAGAGAAAAAAATTAGATACAATTACATACATATAAAAACTGCAACACATGTTTTTATGTATGTATAATTAGAAAAAGAGATATGGCAAGCTTGGTATAATGTCAATTGGTAAATACCAGTGAAAATAAACAGGAGTTCTTTTCTTCTGTGCAGATTTGAATTTTTTTTTTATTTATATTTTTTTGTTTTTGTTTCTGTTTTTGGTGGAACCAGGGATTGAATTTGGGCCCTTGTGCTTACCAGGCAAGCGCTTATTCTACTGAGCCATCTCCCGGGGCCCCTGAAATATTTTAAATAAAATGCTTTTTAAAACACACAAAAGGGGGGCCTGGCCCTAGCTCAGGCCTTTAAGTGGCTGCTTCCACAAAGCTGTCAGCCTCAGGTTGCTGGAGTTTGAACCTCACACCTCTCCCGCTGGCCAAAAGTGCCCTGAAGGCATTCGAGCAACAACAACAACAAAAAAAAAAATCCTTATTGCATTTTTCTGTTAATCAGCTATTCTTGTTTTGAAAATCTGTAACTTATGTATTGTTGTATCTTACACTGTTTCTGATTTTTGTTCTTGCTCTTACTCTTCAAAATAAAATGAAAACTAAATTCAAAAAAAATAAAAAATAAAAAAATAAAACACACAAAAGATGGGGCTGGTGAGATGGCTCAGTGGTCTAAAGCACCTACTTGGAACAAGCTTAGCAAAGCATAGGGACCAAGGTTCAATCTCCCAGCACCACATGCCAGCCAGCCCCGCCCCCTGGTGGGCTGAGCTGGCCACACACACACACACACACACACACACACACACAAATAATTTTTTTTAAAAAACACACACACAAAAGAAGTTGAATATGATGGCACTTCCCAGAATCCCAGACTTGGTGAGGATGGCAGAAGGAAACTGAGGTCAGCGTGGGCTGCACAAGACTCTGTCACACACACAAACAAAAAATCATGGATGGCATCTGCTTCAAAGGAATCCTCTCTAGTTTCAGCAAGATCTCCTTCATACATTTCAAAAGTCACTAAGTTTGGGGCTAGGGAGATGGCTCAGTGGAATAAGTGCTAGCCTGGCAAGCGCAAGGGCCTGAAAAAAAAAAAAAAAGTCACCAAGTTTCACTGGGTGTGGGTGGTGCACACCTGTTATCCCAGGGCTCAGGAGGCTGAGGCAAGAGATCTCTTGAGTTAGAGGCTAGCCTTAGCTACACAGTGTGAGAGACTCTATCTCAGAAAAATAAAGTCAAATTGTCCTATACCTTTGTAGGCTAATTAATGCTTTGACACACCTTCAGGAATGTAAGTCAATATTAAATATAGAGCCTCAGTACTGACAATCAAATGGACATTTAAGAGACTTCTCAACAAATATTTGCCCACTTACAGTGCTTCCCAACTGTGGAGGTAAGACAAAAGCAAGAGTGAGCAACTTCTGTGCTACAGACCAGGACAGCAAAACAGCTCAGTCAGGAGCGCCAATGGG